AAGTACGTTTTATTTACAATTTACAACTTTTTAGGGTAAGTAAGATTTGTTTTTAGAACAGGTACGATATTTCGATTATTGGTGCGACCATTCTCAAATACACGAGTTTTAACGGTAAAGAACGTTTTAGTATTTAAATTAACATTCAACAATGTATTTACATTTTAGAATTCAAAGTGGTCACTTATTAATGTACATGTCAATCCGCGTGAATTTACAGATAATTTATTTATTTATGGTTGAACAGAAAAAAGAAACTAAAAATGAATAAATATAAAAAAAATATGAAATCTTTTATGCAAGATATTTCCATAAGATTGGTTTGTTTGTTTTTGAATTTCGCGCAAAGCTACACGAGGGCTATCTGCGCTAGCCGTCCCTAATTTGGCAGTGTAAGACTAGAGGAAAGGCAGCTAGTCATCACCATCCACCGCCAACTCTTGGGCTACTCTTTTTACCAACGAATAGTGGGATTGACCGTCACATTACAACGCCCCCACGGCTAAAAGGGCGAGCATGTTTGGTGTGACGGGGATTCGAACCCGCGACTCTCAGATTGCGAGTCGAGTGCCCCAACCACCTGGCCATGCCGGGCCCCATAAGATTGGGTATGTGGGGAGAAATAACGATCAAAGAGATGATTCTCGATATTTGTTAATTGGGGAGTGTTTGATTTAGTAATAAAGATTCTTTGATTTTTCTTCTGTAAATATCGGGTTCAGGTTTTAGTACTGTGACATTCTGTTCAGAAAAACTGGGTTTGTTTTTATTCATATGCTCATGAACTTGGGAAGGGTTTTTTGGTGTTCTTTTAACCTGATCTTCAACTTAAGTCCTGTTTTACCTATGTAAAAGTTTGAGCAACTGTTACACTTTATTTTGTAAATGTTTCCTGGTGGGGTGGGTTCGTTGTTTAATATTTTAATGTGTTTAATTTTCCTTCCATGGTTTAAAATGAACCTACGTGTTATATTAAGGTTATATTTACGAGCTAGTCTTTTCCAAATGTCTGATAGAGGTATGCTAATATTTTCTATATATGGGATAAGATGTAAGTGGTTAGGTTTCCTTTGTTTTGTGGAGTGTTTGCTTTCGTTTGTTTGTTAGACGCCTCTTGTCTGTGTTTTTTAAACTTGTTAATAGCTTCAGTAAGGAATTGATTAACGTTAGTAAAGCATTAACTTCTTTATCGATGGTTTCTTTACCATCAAAACTTGTGTTCTTGAGAATGATCGAAACGTCCTACTTTGGATCTAGACATGGAAAAGTATTTGGCAGTCAGTCATAGTAATGTGGGTTTAGACCATCCGATATGATGTATCCTACTCTGGATCTAGACATGGAAAAGCTTTCAGCAGTTTGGCAGTCTATCATGGTAACGTGGGTTTAGACCATCCGATATGATGTATCCTACTTTAGATCTAGACATGGAAAAGCTTTCAGCAGTTTGGCAGTCAACCATGGTAACGTGGGTTTAGACCATCCGATATGATGTATCCTACTTTAGATCTAGACATGGAAAAGCTTTCAGCAGTTTGGCAGTCAACCATGGTAACGTGGGTTTAGACCATCCGATATGATGTATCCTACTTTAGATCTAGACATGGAAAA